TCCAGTCATATGATAAGCCCTGCTAATAATAGATAACTTTGGAAAGTATGTGAATGCTGTCCAGAGGAAAGAATTACCAGATCTCTAAACTTTGAAGGTGGCAGTCAAAGACAAGTTAATCAAAGGAAAGTTGAACCTTACGTTGTGCAACAAGTGCAGGGGTTTCTGTCTAAATACCAAACTGATGACCCTGTTATGCCCTTTCTAGAAACCAACTTAACAACTGTCATGAAAGAACTGATGCAAATATTTGTGAAAACAGACAAAATGAAGTAAAACACTGCAGTGCACCTGATGAATATTGATTTGAATGACAGTGACACTGAATTTGTTCTGAAATCTTACAAAAGTGTGAATGTAGGGCTAGTCTATGAGGAAGAAAAAAAAGAAGTGATAGGGATGTAATGGAAATTCATATGCAGTCTAGAATAATGATGGTGAAAATTATAGAAAAGTTGCAGGAGAAGTGCATTTTACTGCCAGTGCTTCATTTTGCAACTTTTGGTTGACAGTCAAAATGCTTCTGTGTCTTTCACCTCAACAGGCCTCTGTCAAGCAAGGCTTCTCTGTGAACAAGTACACCATGAATAACAATTTATACACTAAGAGATTGGTGTTAAGGCATATTATTGTGGATCATGTGTGCTAAATGTGAAAATTAACAATTTTCTCAAACTGTCCTGCAAGGGAAATATAATACTTGTCTTGAATAAAAATCCAAAGAGGATGTAATGTAGATTAAAAAGAGGAAGAAAGAGGAGCAGATAGCAAACTTCTCAGTAAGAAGCAAAAGTTGGTGGATGAGATGGCAAAACTTGAGAAAAATATGAAAGAACTTCAAAACTGAGTTTTACAGAAACTTTGTATAAAAAACAAGTTTGTATTCACATAACAAATAAAGAGAAAAGATCACAAAAGTGTGTGGCTTAGGTGCATTATTTAGTTCCTTGGAATGTATCTTGTTCATTATGGATATCAGTCTTTTTAAGAATGATTTTTCTAATTTGGAGAGTCCTTTAAATTAACTATATAGGCTATGGAAAAGTCCTGGAACAGTGCTTTAAAATGATTTTCCATCATCTGTGTGAACCCTGATGTATATCCAATGTGTTTTTAATCAACTTTGCATACAATGCATCATGTATTTGAAATCAAAGTCAAGCTCTGAGAAACAGACCAAAATACATTGCATTTATGAGAAAATTTACTGTAAGTGTTCCCTTGTTTCAAAAAAGTTTGTAACAGAAGACATGTAATTCAGAAATTTTGTTAGTACATTAAATATTCAAATAAAGGAGGATAAATGCTGATTTTTAGGAAAGTAATACAATGCACATTAATTAATTTACATTTCAAAAGCAATTAATTTTTCTAGTATAATAGTTATAAATAATCACAATTGCAAATTAATAACAGTGTAGATAGATATGCACACAAATCTGTCTCAAAATTATTTATCTTTGGAAGACTCCATTAGAAACGTTTTTTTAACCTATTCCCCCAAAATGCACAACTGATGTACACAAGTTTGTTAATGCTACACATACTGTAACAATCATGTCAATAGTTGCAAGTTCACTTTTTTTTTTCTTGTTGAAATTAAGTTTGTGGGAAATTTCCCTAAAGAATTGTGTACTGCCTCAAAGGTCTAATGACTCAACATTTGTATGTAGTCATCACTTGTTATGGTTGGCTAGATGAATCCACATCAGCTTTACTAAGCTGGCATTTTTCCTTTAACAAAAGCTGGTGTTTTTAGTTTACCAACACATAAAAGCCTACACTTTCAAACAGAGTAAAGCTCCTATCAGCTAAAATTATGTTACCGGATAGAAGTTTGTTTAAAATTCCTCATTATTCTATCAGGTATTGGTCAGATTTCGTATCTCTATATGCTTTTGAAATAAAAAGATATAATAATCTGTGGAGTGATAGCTATAAGAACTTTAGCTCTAGTTTGGTGTTCATAGCTAGAGTAACAGTGTGCTTTCAGATTTAAGGATATTATATGATCATTGATCTTCTGAACTGAAATAAACAAAGAGGATAATGTCTTATGATGAATATTAACATTAACCGCTATGATAGGGTCAGTCATTAATAGAAGCCTACAAGTATCAAAATCAAAGTATAGGCATAACAGGTGGATCAATTGAATCATCCCTCAAAAATAAAAACTTAAGACTTTTTGATAATATCACTCCCTATGTTGATATGCAAAAAAGGAAATTTTATCTTCCCCCCCCAATCCACATTTACTTTTTCATCTCCTAAAGTCGATAGTATGAGCATGAAACTTGCACTCATCTCTATTGAGTTTGATACTTATAGACATATTTAATGACAAAGTTTGAATTTATATGAGTATTATTTAAAAAAATATTATGATATATTTTGCAAAATGTGTGCTGCAGATACATGAATACTGTTAAGGTTGCCAGTTTTTTCTCTTAACTGCAGCAATCTGCACTTTTAGGTCGGAAGGGAATATGTAAAAATATACACCTGATGCTGAACCCTCTATTGGTACTGTCAAAAGCACAACGGTGGAAAGGTATTTCAAGTTCACTAGCTAGAATAAACTCATGCTACTACCTAATATGGCAGACACTAAGAGAAGACAAGATTACATTATGTCAGTCTGGAAAGGTCTGCTGTTTTAACAAGACTTTTATATGGCACCTTGTCAAATGGTCTCAGAAAATCCAGATCCACCAAATCCACACCCTTACTCTCATCTACTTAAGCAGTAACTTCTTCAGAGAATGTCAAAATATTTATCATTTGTCTGTTATTAATATGTTGTAAGTCATATTGTAAACTGTGTTAATTAACTGAATGTGCACTAAGTAAGTCCATTGGAGAAGTAAATTGATTATAATTCTGAACTTATGAAATGTGGCAAGCTTTTAGTAAACAGTACAAGTCTGTTTTACACACAAAAACAGATGTGTTATTAAATATTTGTGCAAAAGAAATGTATGTAAAATTAAAAAGTTAGTCTGACTCAGACAAGTTGTATGTCAAATTGATGTTAATGTGAAGGATGAAAATATTTTCATCTATCATACAAATTGTATTTGCATAGCCTCTACAACCTCCTAAGTGCACATCTAAAGTTTTTTTTTTCAGTATCTCTGTAGTTTCTCTGGTTTTTCTCTAACACAGACTGTTGTGAAATCAGCAGTGTAGGGTAACATGAATGGTTAATAACTCTGACATTAAATTCATAATACCATGTAGAATGGCATTCTACTATAAGGTCAAAGCATGCACACTTTTACTTTTACCTAGTAACCTGTTAAAAAATTGTGCTTTCATTCAAGTATTTGACACTTATGTATGATTTTACTGCTAAACTCATTAACCAGTTTTAATTACAACTGGAACATAAAATATATGACGCATGCTCCACAAACAAATACCTGTGACGGTATACAAAATATAATCATTTCTGGTAGAAGAAAGATTCAAAGCATTGTCTGTTTCATTGGTTAGTGATTTAATTCTAAAACTGGACTGAGTAGGTTCTTAGTGACCTTAAATGGAGTTATGAAATAAAAATTGGATAAGAAATATGTTGCAGTTCATCAAATTTTTTGAATATTTTAATTTCAAAATAAATTATTTTTAACTTAGCACAACAACAGCATAAATGCTGGATTAGATGGTTATTAGAAAGATATTGTTGGTATTTATTTTCTAACATTACATTGTCATTAAAAGCATTCTTTTTTATCATAGGGTGTTTTTATATTTCATATAATTAATGATTTCATTTATTGTAAATATCTAGATTTAAAATTGATATATTTATGCATGTGTTTTTCTTTCATTAAACTGTTATGAATACATGAATGAGATTTTTCATTCCATGGGGCAAGAATGAAGCTCTTACTCCTAATTTTTTGCAGATTTGAGAGTTTTATTTGTAGATAATAACTTTTATTGTGAAAAATCTAGGTACCCTTAAAACTTTACCATTTTAGATATACTTGTAAACATATCTTGGGGAATACAGCCAAACCATGTTTGTAAACATACTGCTTCCTTTGCTCTCAAATTTCGTGCATCACATCGGTTACCAAATAAAATCTGGAAAGCTGATGGCAGTTCTTTTAATGTGAAGGTGCTAAAAACTACACAAAGCATATTTAAGTATTGAAAATTATAATTTTGTTTTTATTTATTGTTTTTATAATATGAGATTAAAAATGTATTGCATTTTATGCTTATAAGCTTGTACAAACATAAATCATGGACCATTTTTAATATAAAATTCTAACAGTCCTTGTAGATCAATTTTTTTCATTGTCTTAATATTTAGATACTTTAGCAGCACCTTCCTGTCCTTCTTCTTATGTCCAGAAAAAGATTTGACAAAGAAAGCACTTATTTTGTATTGTAATAGATATCTGGATGTAAACTCTGGCTCATAATGACTGTATTGATCATTAACTCATGAATTATATAGTGACATTTCTAAAGAGATGCAAGAAAGGATGAGCATTAGAAGATCACGTGAAAAATGTGTTGTAGTCTTGTTTGTTTGATCTGCTAGCTGAGGAAAAATCATTAGTATTTCTAAAATTTGAGTGTATGCTTGTATCCTGTTTTAATACTTAAATAGTGGCTGACTAATGTCAAAGGTGTATAATTACAAATATTGGTTGTATAATGCATTTGTCATCCAAGAGAAATTTGTATGTTTTGAAAAATGTTGTTTTCTAATTAGTCCCTGATGGCTCATAACGCTAAAAATCAAGCTTCGATATTCATGGTAGGCAGAACACAGACTCCATTATGTAGCTTTGTGCTTAACAACAAACAAACAAATAAATTTAATGTTAAGAATCTTTATTTTTTTGCATTGTAAGGTTTATATTTAAAAACAAAATGTTTAGTAATGGAGTGCATTGTATTGATGGACTCGTGGAGAAAGGATCAAATGTTCAGAAAAACATTGTGATTATATCTAGTTATTTTAACTTGTTTTATAGGCAATTCAAGCAGCTATTAGCAAAGCATTTGAAACTCCTGAAGTCATCCGCATGTTTGCCAAGAAACAACCTGGTCAGTTACAGCAGCGTCTAATTGAAGTGAGTGACTGTATATCAATTAAAACTTACATATTAATGGAATAGGAGTTTTTATGCTATTCACAATTATTAGTTTTCCATAGCTGAAGTTAAAGAGTCACATATTCATTACCTGTTTTTGCTGCAGAGGCAAGGCAGATTAACCTTTTTTAAGCCTGGTGGAAAAAAGATTTGTAGGCACCCATTTTCATATGATCTATTTATTTTCTCCATTTATTCATATGATATGGAAATAGTTAATTTAACCATTTTCCAGTCAGGGTAATGGAAAGAGACACAGCAACTCATTAAAATGTGTGGAGTACATTTATATTCCTTTTTTTCATAGGCCACAAGAAGTGTGAAACTAAAGAAAAAAATAAAGTGATGCAATAACATAATGCCTGTAAATAATCATTGTTCAGGAAAAACATGATAATAAAAGCATAATTTAGTGTTATTAAGCAAATGATACAGTGTGATTCAAAAATGCATTAAGATTCTTTAAATATACATATTATTGGTGAAAATATATCACAATGTGTGCACTTTAAAAATTTGAACTTACTTAACATTGTTAATCTGCCACTGTGAAAAGGCAATTATTTCCTTCTATCATTACCAGAATCATATCTGAACAAAGGACAAGCGTTACTATGTTAAGTTTTCCTCAGGTATCTCTAGTTACAGCACTTAACAGCACAAGGTAATCAAAAATGAGCTGCTGTAACAATACTGTAAATTTGATATAAATTATTTATAATCTCAGCATTTAAGAGGATTTGTTTTTATTCTATTTTGGAATGATGAAGCTAATTATAAACTTAAGATTTTATTTTCGTAAGATCACTAATACTTTGAATGTTTTATTTATCAACAAATATTTCTTTAAACTATAATATACCAGAGAACAATTTCAGTTATCCTCACTGAGCACATTTGTTCAAATAGGTTAAGCAAGATTTGTTCAGTGTGGAGATCCTTAATGCAACACTTAAAAACATTATTTCCTTTAAACAGGAAAAAGTATATTTTATAGTTCTGTTTTAATAATCTATGTGCTATAAATTTTGTTTTCAGTTTTATTATGAAAACTGTCAGATTATGAAAATAATTTTCAAGTTTTTAATTACAATGTACAGTTAGAACGAGACTCTAAGTTTGGGAAACTGGCAGTTGACGTTATGACTCAGCAAAAAGTGGAGATTCTCACTGCCCTGAAGAAGCTAGGAGAAACTCTTCAGCCTGGTGAAGAAGAGTTTTTACAGCAACATTCAACAGCTTCATTGAGGGAGTTTGAGAGTATTTCTGGTGACACTGGTGAGGAAAGATGCTATTTTAACTTTTGATAAAATTAATTAAATTTGTATCACATTATAAATTGCCATAAATGTTTGTCATTTAAAAAATTCATTCAGAAATTTTGTTAATACTACTGACACATTTAGAAACTTATAGAAAAGTATCATTATAAACTCATTAAGTGGGAGTATTTTGAAAATGTATTACCAATCATTAATATCAGTTACTTAAAGATCATGTTACATTTATATAAGTTTTAAATTTTCATTTTTTTTTTCTGTGTGGAAAGTATTAAGTGTGGAGATTATAGACCTAAATTAAATTATTAGTATAGTGTTACACAGTGATTTTTAGACTTTATAGACAGTTCTAGAACTTTGCAATTAAATTGATATAATAAACTACCTATGAGTGCAATTACATCAGTTAATTTCATTTAAGATTGATGAATCAAAATTATGATTAATTTTTTTTGTCACAAAAATAATGAATTAATTGCAAATAATATTTCTTATTATTATTGTTTTTGATTATTCCAACAATTGATTAATCAACATTATGATTAAACCATTATAATGAAATTAATAAAATAATCAAAATTAATGTTTTTGATTATTACCATTTTCAGTTATTCCAACAGTCGGTTATTTGAAATTGTCATTAAATAGATTGTCAAGAAAATAATCAACAAATTGAAATTAGTGTTTATGATTATCCCAATTACCCAGCAATCCAAATATTGCTATTATGTAATTGAAACATTGACAGTACATGTGTTTGCTATTAAGCACACAAAGCTACATAATAGGCTATCAGTGCTGTGCTCATTCATAGGTATCAGAACTTGATTTTTAGCATTATAAGTTTTAACCATTTTTTACTTCAAATTTCTTCAGCTCTAGGCCAGAATAGCCTATTGATTAGTTTGGAGGGGAATTGCCTCATGACTCAAAGGTCTCAGGCTTTATTCCAATTGCCATTAAACTTGCTTGAGGTTTCAGTTGTTGGGGTGTTATATTTTTCTTTTGTTATGGCAAAGCTACTAAGGCTATATGCCACTGTCTCTAATTTTGAGCTGCTGACTATAGAGGGAAGGTAACTGTCTGGCAGTACCCACCATCAACTCTTGGGCTAATTTGTGTTGTTACTATTGTTGTTTTGGCCCATAAGTGTAAACATGACCATGGTTTGAGAAACACCGTAGTAATGGATTAATGGGCTTGTCAATTAATAAATTAGTAAATACCACTAATCGCTCATCTTTAGACATTACTGTCCTTCCTCTTTTCTATTGTACTTGACCTCCAACCATTCACACACACACACACACAAATATTTACATACTAATAAAAAAAATCCATTATCTCACTATCATTAAATATTAAAAAGATGTAGTGCATCACAAACTCTAACAGTAATGTAAGTTTTATGTGAGATACTCCTTTCCTATTATTAAAGAAATATGCAGTATTTTGCCATGGGTTCAAGCTCCAGTCAGGGGAGATATTTTAATATTGTGATCCATTATACTGGCAAACAAGTAATCTTTTTTCATTTATCCCAAAAGGTCACCTAAGCCACTGAATTGTAAAACAGACCACTTGTGCATGTGTTTGACTGAGTGGCTGGCTTAATATACATTGTGATTGTATTGTAAATTTAAAATTTCTGGATTATGTGTGCTCCAGCATAAAATAAAAGTTGTGTTGTGCATAGTTCGATGAACTTTGAGCAAGTGGATACTATAATGGTCAATACGGAAATTTGAATTCTGATTGTCAGTTCCATTCTTTTTTAATGCTGTAAACTTTTGCATAGAATAAGTTTTTTCTAACTGTGATAATAACTAAAATTTAACTTTTTAAATGAAATTAGATTATTGTGTGCTTTTTAGTACTTCCAGTAAAAATTTAGAAAGTTACACAAGACTCCAGGGAAAAACAATATATTAAGCACTGGAACAGTATGAACATACTTTATTGTATAGAAATTTGGCAATCATGCAAGTGCAGAAAAACGAAACTCTAAACTGTTGAATTGTGCTTATTCAACCTGAGAATTACTCATTGTTTTTTATGTTTACATATAGTTGAGTGTTTGTGTATAAATGCATGTATTTAGATTCAATTTCAAATGAAAAATTAGTAAACTTGAATTGGAGAAAAATTGTTCTGTGATGGTTTTACAGAAAGTAAATTAATTCTAATAGTCATTACAAAAGAAAGTGTATTACAATTTTCTAGTTTAAAGTGTAATGTTTATATTTGTGTTTTTCCTTGAGACTTAGCACAATAAAGAGTAAAATAATACAAAGAAATATTTTTGTTTCTAACCCATTACTTGAAAATTAGGTTTAATCAAATGTTCTTTTAGATACCTCAAGTAAAAGTATTCTTGTTCAGTGCTGCCCTGTATATGTGAACTTTTCTATATGCATGCAACAAACCCTGTGCTCCCCCCTTGTTGGAATTATCAAATTCAAATATGTCTCTCATTCAAATCATTATGTGTCATCTCTTGACCAATAGTAGCATGACATGCTCACGTAATGCATGTGCCTCCCTCTATACTCCTCTACCGACCCTGCATAATTTGGCAGTGTTTAAGTTCAGACATCTTCTTTATTTTGTGCTTTGTGCTCTCGTGTGACAACTTAAAAAAAATAATTTTTTTGTCCAAATTGTTTTTTTTTTTTTGTAGATTAACTTTTCTTTTCTAACAACCAGTTCATTTTGTTACTATATATTTTTGCAAAATTCGACTATTTGTGTATGTTATTTTGAGTTATGAATTCCGAAGTTCACGTTACCACTTCAGGAGTCACAACATCGATCAGTGTTGTTTGTAAGGCCTCAGGTGCGGGCAACCCGATAATGGATTATTCTGGTTTCATATGTCAGCTCCTGAATCAGCAGACATCATTCAAAATGACAAGGATTTTGATTGACTTTTCCCACCACCAGAGTTTGCCATTCCTTCCCACTTGCAACTTGATGTTTCCTGTTTTATCCCTTTGCCCTCTCTCTTGTTCACCTTACCCTTCTTTGTTACATGAAACCTCTTCTCAACCATTTTTGGTATTTCCTTCCTCCCAAGATATTTGGGCACATGCTGATCAATTTGTCTCACAATCAAGTAAGGGGATCAGCATGCCATGCCTCCCAAGGACTTCTGATCAGTATGCCTTTTCTTACCATCATGTTGACTATCCGTTTTTGGATCAGCAGTTGTTGGGTTCATTGTTACCTCTTTGGGGCAGCTCCTGAATCTAATGTTTGTCATACCCATGCCCAATATTCTCACCTTAATCTTACCCCAACCAACCTTTTATCTTCCTTTTATGCTTTCTATCATCCATACATCTCCTCTCGGAGGCTCTTCACAGGAATCCTGAGAGTTTTCTGCAGATACCCTCCAAATTAGCTCACATTTTGTCCTCAGGTCTGGTGTTACATACGTGGTTTCTTTGTTGTTGGGACCTTGTTGGTAGGGATGCTGTATTGGCTCAGGTCAATTTATCCTCAACATATCTACGGGACTTACGTCTGGCTCCTTTTTAAGCCATTATATCTTTGGTAAAATCTCAGAAACCATCAAGCCTTGGGTTACATCAGCCAGTTAGCAATCCACCATTACAACCTTTGTCACCCATTTGTCTCAGTCAGAGCCTCATGTGGCACCTATTCCAGTTTCCCATCCTTCAACCCTTACCCTTTCCTTCTAATTGGTGTGGCCCAGCATGGCCATGTGGTTAGGGCACTCCATTTGCAGTCTGCGGGACTACATGGGTAAAGCAGAAGGGGATTGCAATAAAACTGTGAGAATCTCTGTGGCATACCCAGAAATTAGTGCAGATATTAATCCCTGATTCTTGGTTTGAGGTGAAGACGGTATGATCATCATCCTACCTCTGCATAGATGTCGGTATCCTGTGTGTAGGTTTTTTATGTAACTGACTTACCGAGTATGTTCTGAATTGCCCTAGCCATTCTACCCCTCACAATTTTTGCCCTTGTACGTGGCACACACTACACAGGGGCAAAGAGTATACCTAGCTTAGAAGTGGTGCAGTTCCCCTCTTCAGATCTATATTTCTCATGGTCAGGGGTATCCTTTGGATGCTTTTTGGGGTACTTCTTTCATTCCTTTCCACTGGTCTCTCTTCCTTTTCAAGGTGGGATTCCAGCTAATCTTGTGAGATAAGTACCGTATCAGAAGTTATAATTTTCCTGCACTGAAAATGTATTTCTGATATGTACTTCCCTACGTTCACACTTCCCACCCTTCCTCCCAACTTCTCCAGTGTTCATGCCTTCTGCCAAACTTCAAAATGAAAGTTCGATAGAGGAGTATTAAGGGAGTCACGTGAGCATGTCATACTACTATTGGTTAAGAGATGACACATGATGATTTGCATGAGAGACATGATGGAATGTAATAATTCCAACAAAGGGCCAAGCGCAAGGCTTGTGGCATGCAAAAGTAAAGAAAAGTTTGCATATAGAGGGCAGCACTGAACAAGAAAGCTAATCTTGTGAGTAGAGGTAAGTACCTATCGGAAATACATTTTCAGTATAGAAAAATTATAACTTTGTACTATTCCAAACTTCACGCATTGAATGCCTCATTGTCCTTTTTCTTTTCATGATGGTACTATGGCTTTGTATTACTTGTATTAATCTAATGATTAGTTAACAATAGTTTTAAAATTACAAGTATTTTAACACACAGTTGCCAACCATTTTAGTAGTTGTTTCAGTTTTAGGTTCTGAATTATTGGTAAAGTGCTCAACCCAAAAAAGCACTCCAAACCAAAGTCCGTAAAAATTGGAGGAAGAAGGCTTAAGTAGTCAAATTAAAATGCATTATAAATTAAATGAAAGAGGTAATATTACTTTCATTTTGATTACATCTGATGCTTATACAGAATTATCAAGGAAAATTTGTGCTATATGCCACAATGTGCAATATTTTCTAAATATTGTGCATGCTGCAACTTCTTGCCTTGTGTGCCACCTCTGATATAACATATAAAAACCTATTTCAATCATTATTAATTTCAAATAAGTTGGTATAATTATTATCTTGATAATTTTTTTTTCCGTATTTATAGCTTGGGTTATGATAATTTGTAATATATATTCATACATTTCATGTAATTACCATCAGAATTTATACATTTTGAAAGGAGTTTGAGTTGTATGCTGAATACACATGTGATAGCTTGAGGTGATGAGAAAGTAGTTTGAATTGATTTTCTGAGTATCTGCACTACAGCTTGATATGATGAATGCCATTTTGATATGTACATCACTTTTATGTCTACAATATGCATACATCAAACCTCTTGTAGCTTTAAAAGATTGTATGCAAAATTTATAAAATATTGAATTCTAGAATATAGTTTTTAAAAGAACTTTAAAACAATTCTCAATATGCATGTTTTATCTCTCATTGTCTGAGAAACTTTAAACATTAAGCATGTTGTTAGTACAATCAGGAGTTGTTAACCAATAATCTTTCAGAGGTATCATTTTGAATTGCTTATTATATGTAATTCTTTTATTAGCTTTTTTCAAAATAAAAATAAGGATACATTAATAACTTGACAATGATGATAAGTGTACATACTGATAACTACAAGTCTTCAAGTGTGTATTTCTGTCAAAGCAACGGTAAGGACAAAATGCATTAAACATCACAATGGATGCATTTTATGCCAGTTAGTTATTAGAAGCTTTTAATTTCATTGTATTATTTGTAATTCAATTCTAATAACAGAATTTTCCCATGTTCATAAACATCAGTAGTTTTAAGAACTTTTAACTGTTTTATAAAAATATCATATTAGATAACTAATTGCACTAAATGAAAGTTGTAATCACTTTCCAAATTAAACGTTTTTTCTTATCTAACAGCTACAAGTGAAAAGGTACTCAAGATGGCAGAGTCTCAAGTTGAACAGGCTGGAAGATAATAGAAACCAAAACCATTTTTATCATTCAAGAGGGATATTTTGAACTAGGAAATCAATGATGGAAATGTGAGATAAAGTTTTATAGTTGGTTCTTAAAAGACGAAGAACTCAAATACTCATGATATATACCTAATGTGATTTAGATAGCTTTTACCTACATGAGCTCTTTAATTTATCAAAGCTGAAAATGTAATTCTGGTGGAAAAAAGTCTTGCCCTAGACCTAATCAAAAACACTTTGGACCAGATATACATGTAATAAAGATGAGCACAGTTTTAAGTACATTTTAAATCAGGTAACATCTTTCCTTTAATCCTGATACATACCAGCATTTACATATTATTAAACAACCTCAAACTTTGAATTGTTAGGGGAGAGGGGGTACAAGCAAATCAACATTTTTGGTAGCTTTCATACTACTTTGGCTAATTCTGTTTATTTGAACTAGAAAGGCAAAAGCAACTATGTAAACATTTCAGTTGGAGTGTACTCATAAATTTACTGTATACAAGATTTACCCTCATATTTTTAGATTGCGAGAGAATATTAATATTAAAAAAAAAGAAAAAAGGCCGCTACTTCCTTTAAAATACATAGTTGCCTTAGATAAAAGAGTTAGCACAAAGGATCACATATAAATATATATATATATATATATATTCTTCTTCAGGAGAACATCCTTTGTTCTCCTGAAGAAGAATAGTCAACTATTCGAATGTACTCAAGTTTTGGGTCTTATTTTAAGTTTAGTTGCCTTAGACATATTCTCTAAAGTTCAGAACTTACATTCACTTGTATGAGCAATGTTTTGTTTTGTTTTTAGTTACTGACTCTGCAAAAGCACTTAATTTTCTAATTTTCATTGATACGTTAATGTATGTGTGTGTGTGTGTGATGTTTACAACAAATATTGATGATTTCATCAATTACTTTACATATCTAAGTTCACTTTTATATCATTAAATTTGAAAAAAATTATTTAAATGAATTGTTACGAAAAAATTTACATGTATTATACATGCTCAAAAAGGATCAATCACAGATAATTCAACTTTTAAACAAAAAACATACTAATAGATAAGCATGAAAATTTTTGGATGACATTGTGTATTTCTCATACTTTCAATATTTTATTAATAGATGTGTTTCAGAACAGAATTGTATGTGTATAACTAACAGATGCTGATTAGTGTAAGGGAATGTTTAATTCATTTTAAGCTTTAGTTTTATTATCTTGATGAACCAACTCACTTTTTATGCAAATTGATAGAAAACAAATTTATGATTTGCATGAAAGTGAACTGATTCATCAAGCTAGTAAATCCAAAGTTTAACTAAAACTAAACAACTGTTCTCTTAGGAATGAAATGTAAGTTGATCTTCTCTTATTAAGGTAAACTATGCATCTAATGTTTATTTTAATACCTATTGAAGAATGATGGCTATGATCCTAGTTAATAACAGTTCTTCCTGAAAAATTATAAAAATCCTATTTACATTAAAATTATCACATAGTCAGTTTGGGTTTAAACATTTTCATGTTTCTTATCTGTATTACTGCCCTTGATGTTCATAAATAAACGTTGTAATTCGAAAGCATTTTTCATGGTTTTTAATTTTATTTGATGCAGTTAGGTTACTCCAGAAAC